GGTTGAAAGTTTATGCGAACTCCTGATAAGGCGCTTTTCATTCACTCAAACTCAGCCTGTTCTAGATGTTGCTGTTCTCTCGGCTTGTGTATGCGTCATATGTCAGCTCATATTATTCAGTTGCGCATCGATCGTATCATATAAGGAGATGGTAGATTCGTAACCTACCTTCGTATCGCTTTATTTACTCAGCAACCCAACACCCGGTCCATGCCATCACGCGTTTAAGCACACTCGAAACAGCGGCACCTCTGCATCTGCCCAACTTGACAGCGTATCTGCTAACCGAAAACTATCAGCATGCATGACTGTGAAGACTTTGCCCGCAAGATAGCTAAGTTGGATAAGATCTAATGAGAGACGGTTGGTGATTGGTTCTATTTATGGGTGATTTGTTGCGACAGTGCCCTAATCTTGTATTACTTTTCACGATTTTTATCGCTCACCTGAACATGCCAAGTGATTGCTTGTTTTGCGAGTTTGAAATCTTTTCATTTCGATGTTCTTTACATGTTTTGAATCGCGGTGTCGCTGTGGTGTGATGCAAGTGCTGATAGGGATTCCGTTCTATATCTAACTTTTGACACATCATGCGCATTTGAATCAAAATCGTCATCAGTATATTCGTGCATTTCCGAGCAGTCACGCTTTTTCGAGGGACCATGTTGTTCGTTTTTGGTCTTTCGTCGTTTTGCGTAGATCCTCTTTTGGAGGAGGCTGACAGGAAGATGCGAATGTTTATAAGTGTGGCGCATGCGATTTTATACGCGGCCTCATCCTGGAGGGCTTCGCATTGAGGAGTATGCCGTTTTGCTGCTGTCGCCCATTCAACAGTGGCTAGGCTGCACCTCCGTGCTTTCGCTTTCTCCTTATCTTTGCTTTTAAGAGCCTTTTCCTGTTGTAATCGCGGGGAGCAAATGATTTCTGCAACAACGCGTCGATACTGATAGTCTTCCAGTTGTTTATAAGCATGTGCAGGATGAATTTGGTCTTTTTCTCATTACTCCTGTAGCGTCAGAGGCACATAGTCTCATCTTCACCTGTAATTCACGTGTGGAATGCACTGTGCATCTTAGATCCATCCGATTTTCAACTTTTCCTCATGCAGGAAGCGCAGATGGCTGGTGTTCAGGACGAGGTCTGGAGATCGCACTGCAGCTGCTGCCACTTGCTAGGCCAGGCGTCATGTTTTTCTTTCGGCGGGAAAAGCCCTTGTTTGGCCTGCACCGCGAATTCCGATGCGAGTTCGCCAGGCCGCGCTCGCTGCCTTCGCCTTCCCTCAACCTTCCGAATCCATCAGCCCGAGCAAGAGTATGTCGCGAGTCTTTTCTGAGCTTGCTCAACAAAGGAGTTGTTCGGGAAGGCCCGACAACACATGTTCATGCTGGCGCAGTCTGGCATTGATTGTTTTGGTAGTGCGATGAACCGACCTGCATAATGCATAACGCATAAAGCGTATTGCTTTCATTTAGACCACCGTGAATTTATAAAAATCTTAGGTAAAATGTGGGATACTGCTTTGCTCTGAATACTCCAGCATTTTCCTGAAGATTGACGAAAGTTCAGGCATGGAATATAATGTCCTATGAAAAGGTGGTCATGTGAGGACACTGATGTTGCAAACGTGTTTATTTATGCAACTCCGTTTTAAAGTTGAAGCATCACGCTTTCGTAGGTTATTCACACATTACGTCGCTTCCTCGTTGTCATTTTTTTCTGCTCAAAGAGCATTGTAGCACATCTTTACTCGTTGCAGGCAGGCGGCCTTGTGAGCTGGCCATCAGTTTCTCGTTTGGGTATACTGCCGTAGCGGAGAGCGCACTTCTTCCCTCTCCTCTTTTTTCATCTCTCCTCCAACGTTTCTTGTCTGAATTCCTCACAGCACGATCACGATGGCCAAAGGAAACAATCCAATAGAGGAGAATACCACGGTTGGTGAAAATTTTCTCTTCGTCATTTTTTGTGGTTTGTCTTCATTTATTCTCATCACCGATGTTAGAGAGCGAAATGTTCTTAATGTCGTTGATATTATATGAGCTATCTGCATTTCATCCATGGCGTTGCTGGATGTCCTTACTTTGAACACATCGCTCATCACCTTAGAAGAATGAGTTGTGATGGCTGTCACAAATAATGCTTAAATGATTATTGATCAGATGTTAAGAATGTTTGTTGGACATTGTGTTTACTATTGTAACTTTTAGCTGATGAATGGTAACAACAAAGCGGCTGACTACGATGAGTCCTTCTCGCGTTTCCTCTACAACAAGGATAGAGGCACTGTGCTGGGCAGAACGGCGAAATCGTGGTGTAAGTACAGCTTGATTTTGGTCTTTTGGAGGAGAATATGGGAACATCTTTCCAGGTCAAATCACTATCTTCTATATAATATTTTACTCATGTCTAGCAGCTTTTTGGATTGCTTGTCTTGCAATATTCCTCAATACTCTTGACTCGAAAGTGCCACGCTTTTACGGTAAAGGGACTATCATTGGAATTAATCCCGGTACGTTATCCTTTGTTCTTCCGCTCTTTTCTCATGTTTGCCTGGTCTTGCTCACCTTCTTCTTTCCCATTCATTTGAACAATTTTTGCTTGCACAGGGAGTCTCGGCTTTTATTCGCCCTTGCTCTGATCTTGTCTTTGCTTTGCTGGGCCAGGACTTTGTTTGACTACCGTCAACCAACTCCCAAAGCGCGAGCAAACAGAGTGGAAGACTCAGATATCAAAGCGGGCTTCCGCTGCGTAAACTATTTATAACTCATTTGGTAGTTGACAGATCACAGCGTGGGTCACCGGTAGTGGATTATGTGATTGCGTTTGCCTCTGAAGTTCACATCATACCTGAAAGCTATTGCGAAGGTGAATCCTCAGGTCACGGTAAATTTTCGTTCTTTTGCGCACCGCATATCGCACATCTGTCTATGTATTTGGGCAACCGGTTGTAGCGGTAGCGCTAGCATTCGGCACTATGCTTTGTTCCAAATTTGATTGCGGCTCAGTCAAGTGTACAAGGGGAGAATAGCGTATTTTGCTCATCCAGAACAGCTTTCTGCTCTTTCTCTCTGTATCGCTCTTGTTTAGTCAGCACTACGTTGTTGCAAGTGCGTTGGGTGCGCAGATTAACTCATCCAGATTGACATGCTGACGTCATGACCGCTGGCAATATGTGAAAGTCGCGCTGGCGCTAGCAAGGGCTTAGGACTGCCATCAAAGACTTTACTCATAAGAGCGATGTGGTGCGAAATTGCCGCACTTCAGCAGCAGTAGTCAATAAAGCAGAAGGAGGGCTTGCCGGAGGACGGAACTCGACGTCAGTGCTCGTTTCCCTTTGAATCAAGTTAACAGGTGTTCTAATAGTTTGGCTCTCATAAAAGTGCAAGTATGAGATAGGAAAAAAGATGGCGGAAGGTTTATGAACAAAACTATCAGTGAAACTCAATCTCTACCTGATAAAGAGCCTTCATTGTGAATATACTTACCAAATCACGGCGGGGATATACTTATCAAATCACGGCGGGGA